TAATGTCGACAATGAAAGAGGGCACACATTGGAGGGGCTTGGCTTGTACAGGACTGCCTTAGTGAGACAAGTACTTTTGACAATAACACCATGGGTAGTCACTGGTTATTGGTGTGATTTGGGCGGGATAGTAAACAATTAAATCTCACAAACACACGTAGAGACCCTAGTGATGTCTATTAAGTTTTTATTAGTTATGTACAACAGAGGAAAGTATAACCATTTATGTGGGCTTTGGTACTCGGAGATCACTCACCGACACCCTCATTACACCCTTAGATCATTGTCTTTTACTTATTTCGTCTAATTGAAGAAAGATTACAACTGTATATTTTTTTCCAGGATCAAAGGACAAAAAGCAATAACTAAGCTTAGTAGGCCTAGTGGCCTCGCTCATTATCCGCAGAGTGTAAGGCAGATTGTCATCTGATGATCTCAAATAAATGAGATGAACTGAAGCTAATGTGTACTGTGAATTAACACAACGAGACGTTTACGACTGTCAGCGTGTATATAAAGACGGGAACTTGGACAGTGGAGAAGATATTCTTGTCCTAGACGGAACCCAGTACCCGTAAATCTCATAAACAGGTGAGGCTGATCATTTTAGCAGAGGCATGTTTGGCGCAAATGTATTTCTGTTTTGAGCATTTTCTTTCTTTTTTTTTTTTCTTTCTTTCTTCGTTTTCTGCAAAATATTATGTACGCCTCCTGCAAACGTAAACCCCGACTTTCTTTCTTTTCTTTTTTTTTGTATCTTAACATGTCGATGCTTCTGCTCTCCATTTACCGATTAGAGACTCGTGTGTTCACGTGCCTTTCATTTCACTACTACTGCTACCCGGCATTTCAACTACTCAAACCCATCATTTGTAGCTGGCTCATTGAGTTTGAGTGGTGCTGATCAGGCACTTTTTGGAATGCCTCGCATCTTGACTTGCCAATAAAACTCTAGTACTGATCATTTTAGCAATTATTCTAAACAGACACAGTTCTGAACAGCATATTGTTCTGACAATTAATCGAAATTTATAACTCTCCAGTACAAGTATTAGAAACAATTCCTAACACCCGTAACCTCCTAACTTTCACAGAAGTGTCTGCAACTGGTTTACCACCCTCCAAATCTTTTCCCAGGCTCCAGTCCCAACTATTCTCATTGGGGGGAGACTTTCGTGCAATTAAAATTTGAAAGCTGTAAGGGCGACATAAATTATTTTAAATCTGCAGAATGAACGTCTGAACCTACATCCTCTGAACGTTTATTGCCGATGTCTTTCACAATGTCGCAAATAGAAATGGCGCATAAATGAAGATAAAGCTTTTTGAGTAGTATCCGCTTTCCTACCGTAGCTGTTACACTGAACCTGAACTTAAACCGTTTCTATTGTTCATAAATGATCAAATGCAAGGGGTAACTAAAGAATTCCATGTTAATTGAAATGACTAATAAGGTTACCCCTCCCCGA